ATACTATGTTAAGTCGGCAACAAGGTACTGTGGGCGACCCTATCACTATTTGGAGGGCTCTCTCCCTTCGGCCTGGGTCTCAGTCTCCGGTAGGCTTCCTCTCTCTCTTCCAGTCCAATTGCCGAAAAGGGTCTCCTATTGGTGAAGCAAGCATCAGTCGCGAGGTGGTACTCCGACGCTGTAGTCAGCTCTCGCTGAGTGCACCACAAGACGCTTTGCCAAGTCACTTCTGGTGGCACGTAAATCTTAACACCAGCATGTGGTTATCCTGTGTTGAGCTTCAAATTGCATTAAATCACTATCTATAATATACTCCGCTTTTCACATCAACTGACGTCACTGAACCACCGACCTCCATACAACCATTTAGCTTCTTTAAGAGCTACAGCACTAGTGAAGGGCTAAAGGGTGGATCCTGTCTCGAGACAACTTCTTCATAAATATACAATTTCGAGTGACAGAAAGAAGAAAAGTCAACACGGTTGTTGAAAGACATCTATCGAGAGAAAAAAAAGGCGTCTGTATCATGCATGTGGGAAAATTGTGGTCTACTCCATCTCATCACCACAACTTTATTGGGAAGTGTGAAAAAGGGACAGTCAATTCAACTATTTCCAAGCTTTAGTTTCACCGTAGACTTGGTGTCTTTAATTCCCACCTTTAAAGCCACCAATTTCCTTCTCTAGTGTTCAACATTGCGGTGTCTTTGCTGAAGGTGTTGAGCTCGCTTAAGTTCATCTCCTGATATCATTGCCACTTTCTGGTGCCTCTTCTAATTCCTTACCTGACAGCATTCCTCAATGTCTTTCTACATTAAGAGAGAAAGACGACAAAATATCTAGGCTAAGACGGCGAAGTGGTGATGTCACCCAGGCACCACCCGACTCGAGTACTACCTTTCTGGATCATCCCCACCCCTAGGCCTTAAAATGCTTGATTGCCTCGAGGCAAAACTGCTAACCGCATCTCTGATCTCAATTTCTCAAACTTGTCAAACACCAGTACACAGATAAGGTAAACAAAGAAGCAATATCAGCCTCTGTACAATGCTTATAAAGAACTTGACACCCAAAAGACGAATGGGTTATCTACCAGAAAGAGGTGATGGGGAAAGTGTCAAACATTTGGTTAAGGTGGTGTCTGCCTTAGTCATCATCACCGATTCGGAATTTGGGAGAGCTGTCCTTACCCGAGCTGGCCGGGTAGTCCCGTGGTGGAAGCTGAGCTTCGTCTTTCGTACTCTTTGGGCTCGCAAAGGTTGTATAGGCATGATCTGGTTGCGTTGTAACACGATTTAAGGCTGTATTTGCAGCTGTCTGTTCAGCTCGCCTTCTCTCCAACTCATTGTCCTCATCATCAGCAGTATTTCTGTCGTCAATCGTCTTGGACTTGTGTTTTCTGAGTCTCAACAGTCTTGACGCCCTTATTTTGGATCGTAGGACACTGAAGAACTCCCTCTCGAACTCTTCATCCCCTCCTGTCTCTATCACAGCTGATTTGCGACGCCATTCAGGACCGGCAAAAGCTTCGGGGCTATCCAGGTCACTAGTTCCGCCAAAAGTCACCCTATGTCCTTGAAGATCTTCTAAGGATTCATACGATTGTGCGTTGAGATTAAGAGAGGAGTCTTGATTTTGAGCTGAGGTGAAGTATTCCAACAACCTCGAGTCCGAAAAAGTAGCTGCAAGGGCTGGTAAGTGGAGAGTTGAATCGCCACTCTCCAGCATGTGCCTTTGTCTGATGGTCTCGGGAAGGCCTTGTAGATACGATGAAGACTTTGATGGTTTAATGGTGGCGTAGTGCAACTTCAGTGCAATGTTCTCGTACGTTCGGACGATTCGCTCGTCATGCGTTTCCGGATTCCGTTGAAGCCATCGACGAGTGAAACGATCATCAAGTCGGGTAAAGAATACACGAATACGATTGCGTCCATTTGAACCGATTATCGCCTCCACACCAGCCAGAAGGTGATCCAGTACATTTCCATTTAGATCGCCGAAAAGTGAGAGCTCCTCCTTTCCTGCTAGTTTGATGCGGAATAACTTCACCAAGGGTTTCATTGTCAATCCCATCAAACCAACCGTGAAAAGGATGATAAAGAGAGTCCCAGTGACCATTATTCTCCGTACTTGGGGTCCATTTGGACCCAGTTCCTTATTTTCCACAAGAAGGCCAAGGGAAAAGGCCACAGCTCCTCGAAGGCCACCGTAAATTAGGATGGCTTGCTGCTTAAATGTGACGCGTAGATTATTCAAGTTGATCCAGTTGATAATGAAGGTGAGTAGGAGAACAACAATTGCCCGTGCTATAAGACAAACCACCATGCCCCAGAGACAGAAGCCCGTATTCCACTCAATCTCCTCGGAGAAAAGTTGCACACCAATAAGGAAGAAGATGAAGGCCTCACTTACTTCGGCAATCTCCTTGATCACTAAATGAACACTGGTTAGGGCAGATGATGAGATGTTATGGAAGGCATAGTCAGCCTGCACCAGACCGCATCCAATCATCGAGATAATGCCTGACCATCCTAGAGTCTCACCGAAGATGTATGAGAAGTATGCCATGAGGAAGATCAGGAAGCAACCAAAGTGGCCTGTCCAACGAGTAAAGAGGCTGGTGATTAACCCTATTATCACTCCGACGATGAGACCACCGAAAGAAATGGTGAAGAAGGAGCCAATTCCAAGTCCAATCTGTGCACCTTCGACATCGGTCACATTGATGAATTCACTCATAATACGGTAGAGCACAACAGTCACCGCATCGTTGAGTAGGGACTCACCAAACACCATGTAGTAAAGGCCCGGCTCTACGCCGATGTCTTGGAAGATTGCCAACACAGCAACGGGGTCTACAGCAACGATAAGCGATGCAAAGAGGAGGTAGGCGTTAAAAGTAATGCCCACCGAACTGCTGCCCATCGCTCCCGCCTTGTCCAGCCCGTACATTAATGGACCGATGATAAGGAAGTTGAGCACAGTTCCGATCACAGCATATATAAGAATGCTGCCAAGGTAGTCAAGGAATGTTCTATTATACAGACTGTATGCCGCATCCAGGACAATGGGGGGAAGAAGAAAGTGGAAGAACATGTCTGGACGCAGTTTCCATAGCGTATCATCCAACTTATCGCCAGTTATGGCATTGAGGATGGCGCCGAAGATAACGCCAATGACGATGAGAAGGAGAGACTGTGGAATGTAATCTGGCACAAAGGGCACCTTTGGATAATACATTTTGAAGAGCGTAACTCCCAAAAGCGTTAAAATGATGCTGAAGTACGTGGAGAACTCTTCAATGTGCCATGCAGCTAATTTAACACCCCCCTCTATTGGATCTTCTGCTGAGTTGTTATTATTTTGTGCCATCAGGGGGACAGGATAGAGAATAAAAAGCAGGAGACATAGCTCCACCACCAAACAACACAGCCCCATAGTGACTCCGTTAGTCAACAAGTCAGTCGACTATTCTAATGGATAGACTGAGTCGCTTTTTAATAGAAGGCCTCTTCACTCCCTCGCACCTCACGCTGTGGAGTCATCATAGTGCAAATTGGCTCTCCTCTCGTCCTCCTCTGCAATTGGCAATAGAAATATCACATGCTCATGTACTATTGGCTCACTCCAATCACGTGCGATGCCACGGACGCACCGAGAAGCAGACACGCACGCACGCGTGCAAATGCACACTCAGATAGGTCAGACAGGTTGTGGAATGGGTCGAGGAGGGGGGAGAGGCTGTCTCAACCCTCTCCCATATTCATTTTCTCCAATCATTGGCTGGTGCGTGCTCGTCTTTTCATCAAAACTATGCACGTAGCAGTAGTATAAGTAGGTTCCCGTTTCTTTACACTTCTTTATGCACTACTACAGGAAAAATTCACCAGCATGTGGGGAAAGGCCTTGCAGCTTCCTTTTCGCCTCATGATTGAAGCTAAGGCAACTATGCCATATAAGAAGCGTTTAATTTTCACTTTGGCAAGTCGACTCTTTGTTTACTTATCTGCGGCAATTTAACCTTTGAAAGAGGACAAAGTCGAAACTCACGTCTTTCACTCTTGTCGGGATAAATTAGAAGAAAGAGTTGCATAACGGATAAAATATATAAGGATTGGTTTTTGCATACCATGAACCTTGTTTATTAACAGTTTTGCTCCTATCAAAGACAAAAAAATCGTGTATTTGCATCAGACTTAATTTGACGTTCCTTTCATAAGGCGCAATTTGTAAATAGGCAAGGTCAGGATTTTGTAGAATTGTATTGTCCAGCCAGATGAGTTCATGAAGACGAATAGTGATATGGAGACATGGACTGTCGATCTATAAAAATGCATGAGGTTCACTGATATTCTTTGCGGTTCACTTTATTCCGCGAAATTCTTTATCAAAGCCATGTTTAAAACAGGTCATCTGAGTGTTATAACAAATAGCCTCCCATTTTGAATCTTCGGATCCGCATGAAGGAGATATGCTGAGTGAAAGCATCCTCCAGTTCTTTTCACAAACGATTCAGGCACTAAATTCTCCTCAGGATTGGTGATTGACATATTTAAAAATGCTTATAATTCGGCATTATAATGAGAACAAACAAGGGGCTAAATGATTGAAAGTTTATTTCTTAGTATGGGACATTAATAGGTGTTGCTTTAAGAAATTTGCTTCGATACAGTCTTCGCTTGAAAGTAGTCGAAAGTTAATATTACCGAAAATACCCGCTGACAACGTTCTCCGATCTGATTGGTCACTGGAAATGAGCCAATAACAGTGCAAGAAAGTCTTTAGGCCTACTAATCACAATTTAACACTAAATAGAAAAATTTAAATTAATTATACGAAAGAATTTTATCTTTGTAGATTAATTAGAGGTAGTTATCTTAAGAATATTGAAACCTTGTCATCAAAATTTGAAAAAAATGTTAATCTCCTATGAAACTCCTTCGTTTTTTTGTAATGAAATAAAAATTATTGCATTGCATATTTT